GCAACCCGGGCCTGTGCCCTGACTGGGAATCGAACCGCCATCTCCTGGATCCTAGGTCGATGCTCAACCACTAAGCCATGCTGGCGGGCTTGTTCCCAATTCTTCTCCCCACCCCCAGGTCTCTCCCCAAATCCTTTCTTTCTGGAGATTTCATTCTGTGTTTATCAAACTCTCAAAGCAGTTTCCTTTACCCACTCCTTCACTGACACCTGGCTGTCCCCTGTGGACACTGCATCGTCTGTTACACTCTCGGCGTGGGCTCATTTACTTCAGAGCCAGAAGGTGGTCTTCTTGGGGGCGACCCTGCTGCACTCTCTGACTGTCACTCCCCCACCGCCTTACAGCTCCTGGTTGCTGTTCCCACCACCCCACCCCACCCCAGGCTCTTGGCCACTCCTCCGCACCCACTGAAAACTCTATTCCCCAGTTCATCGCCTTTCCCCCACATCAACTCCTGTCATTCTACGTAATTTCATCATGCTCAGAAGTGACCCAGCATCCAGCTGGTCTCTTCAGTGATTCCTTCATTCCCACTCTGTGGGACACACCCTGGACCTTGTCATTTCCAAATACTGCATCCCTCTGAAAGCTCAATTTCAAGCAAAATCTCCCACTCTCAACCCAGCCCCTCCTTTCCCTCTAGCTTACCCAAGAACAACAACTTCTCAGCCACGTGGAGTCACGCCGACCTACTGACTCCACCATTTCATCACCATCCATCGGCCCCTTCTGGGTTTCCTTTCTTTCCTTGTCTAGTCTATATTCTCAGGTCCATCACTGTAATTCTTTTCTTATAAATACCCTCAAGGTCTTTGCTCTTTTCTCCTCCCACTGTTCTCCCTTGGAAAAACTCTGCACTTGGGTAACTCTTAGCATCTGTATTTTCTGAGCCTACCCTGGAACATCTGGACATTGCAAGAGAAAAATTACACAACGAAGCCAACCGGTTCCCTTTAAACTCACGATGTCGAGCCTACAATGGGCACTTAACATCGCCTAGCAAGCCTACTGTGTTTCTCCAGAAAACTCCATTTCTTCATGATTGTTTCATAACTTCTCTTCTGTCCTTGACTCTCCAGTGCTCCCCTCCTGGACGCTTGCTGTTTGCCGACCTTACCACATACTTTGTTTAAAATCTCAAGGTGTCTGATATGAATCTTCCCATCTGTCCATGATAAAACTATAGAGATACACACGCCCATGCCCATCCTTTCCTTCCCTCCTGTGACCGTGGAGGAGCTGCCTGTTCCCTTGCTTGCTGGCATCTCCGTCACCAGGCTGCAGGCCATAGGCTGTGCAAAGGCGGGGACTTGGTCCCGCGCAGCCTTGGGCCTACTGCCTGGACGCTTGCTCTAAAACGTTCAGCGTTGTTACTTAACGGCTCAGAGCTGAAGCTTTCCCCCCCCCTTTCTATCTACGCCTTTGGTTTCAAATTCTAAGCACATAATATGTCATTGAAAACCAGACAAATACATAAATAAATGACTTAAAAGGGGGCAAAAAGAATATGTGGATCACTTTTATTGCTAGCTTGAATGACATTTAAGCATGAATGGGCCATCCAGTGGGAGATGACTAATTAAATTTCATTTCCAGTAGGTAGCACAAAACTTGTTTTATCTGCTCCATTCTTCTTACGGTTAAGAAGATGGGAACATTGGGATTAGAACAGCAGAGAGAAATAGTGAAAATGTTCTTAGGACAAAGGGACAAGGGCAGACAGGAATCACCCACCGATGCCTTCCTTTACCTGCTCCAAAGTGGGCAGGAAGCTCAGGCGGAGAGACCGCTGCACCCATGGTGACCACTGGCCCCACCGACAGTGAGCATCTGGGTTTACTCCCCGGAGCACAGGCAGGCTCAGAGGACACTGACGGGCAGGACACGAGCAGTCTTACCTCCGCTCTCAATGAGGACATCCAGGAGTTCGTCCATCTGCTGGCTGCGCGTCATTTGCTGTTACGAATTGGCCAAAGCAGGACAGAGGTCAGGAGGTGGCTCTCTTAGGAAATCGTTAGAAGCAGCACCACAGGCTTTTGAACTAGGCCTGGTTAGTTGTATTGTTAATCGTGGTAGAATGCACAAAACATAAAATTTACCGTCTTAGCCCTTTCTAAATGTACAGTTCGGTGGCATTAAGCACACTCACAGGGTTGTGCGACCATCACCACCATCCGTCCACAGAACTTCTCACCTTGCAAAAGTGAAACTGCCCCCATTGATCAACAACTCCCCATTCCCTTCTCCTTCCAGCCCCTGGCAACCACCATTCTACTTTCTGTCCCTGTGAATTTGACTACCGTAGATAGCTTATATATGTGAATTCACATATAGCATTTTTCTTTTGGTGACTGGCTTATTTCACTTGGCATAATGCCTTCAAGGGCCATCCATGTCAGAACTTCCTTCCTCTTTAGGGCTGAATAACATTCATTGTACGTATACACCACATTTCGGTCATCCACTCATCCACCGATGGACATTGGCTTGCTTCCACCTTTTTGCTTTTGTGAATCACGCTGCTATAAACATGAGTGTACCTGGTTTCTGACCCTTTGTCTCGCTTTGAAGTGAACCTGGCCCAGGAGTGTGGCTCATATCTCCCTAGTCCCTCATGCAATAGTCTGCGCAACCTCTCAACACTTGCAGGGAATGGACCCCTCGCCTCCGGCTCATCAGCGTGAAGTCGGGTCTTATTTACAGGCGTCCACTTTGCTTGGCCCTTTCCTTTTCTTTTGAAACTGTGACGGATCAGTTGATGTTTGCGGACGCCAGGGGAAGGAAATGGGGAGAACTAAGATATGTATCGGCCTCACTCCTCTTGGGGCCCAGCCCCCAAAACACAGGCGTCAATAATCAATATAGGTGGGAGCACTGCTCCCAGGATGAGTCCTTTGCCAGTGCAGAAGGCATTAGGGGCCTACAGGGTCCGGCAGGGAGTGCAAATGGTCCAAATGTAGAACAAGAGAGAAGGGTGGAGTGTAGAGCCTATCCTGTGGTTCAGGAGGCAGTGGATACCGTGTTTCAGGAGACTGTTTTCTGGCAGAAATGTGGCCTCAGTGTAGCTGGATCCCTTAATTTTTCAGAAACGAGTATGCCTACTTTTTGCATAACATATCCTAATATTTAAAGTGCTCTCTAAGCCAAGTGAAGCCTCGCTGCAGGCTGGTGTGAGCTGTGGGATTCCAGTATGCGGGAAGGGATGCAGGCCTTTTCTGGACTAGCTGATACTTTATCCAAACTGAAGCCATTTGGAACACAAGAGCATTAATTCATGTTTTTGTTTTTTTTTACCTTTTACTTTGAAAATTTTCAAACATAAATGAACCTCCTTTATCATCCAGCTCAGTAACCATCAATATATTTCCAGGAACAGTGAATTCTGAAACTAGGAAGAACCTTGGAAAGTGTTTCCCTAACAATTTCTCTCATATATTTGAGTACCTATCCTGTGCCCGGACAAGGGGGTAAGTGCTACATTACCTAGAATCATTATAAAGGAGATAACGGCCCTATTTCATAGAAGAGAAGTTGAGTATTTGCCCAGCCTCAGTGGCAGCGGGAGCTGTCTGGTGGCCGAGCTGGCACTAAGGCCAGTCATCTGGGTGCCCAGATAAACCTCTTCTCTCCCTTGGCCTCACAGAGCCCATATGCCCATCAGCACCTTTCTACAGTTAGCATCTAGGCACTGCGCCCATGCTGGTGGAGGCACCAGGTGCACTCAGAACCACAATCCACACGCATGAAGCTGAATCCTGTCCAACACAGTCCAACTCAGCCAGTCTATTCGTCTATAAAGAGCATATCGCGCCATTACCTGCTTTACTGCATCTTCATAGGACGGAGGCTGTGTTATCTCTGCCACTGTTGAAGTTGACTTAGAAAAGGTTGGGGATGGAACCGAAAACTTTGGCCCTGCCTTATCGGAAGAGTGCAAACCAGCCATCTGTGTGAGGAAAACGCAGAAGCAGGCGATCAATTCATGTGTCAGATACGGTACTACTTCTGGATTAGAAACTACAGGCCAAGTTTTGGAAAAATTGATTTAAGGGGGAAAAAGGAGCTAGGGCTTAGAGAACAAATCCAGTGGATTAACAATAGTATGTATCACTATGGACTTATTGCTGGAGGCATCTTAGGATGGGAACCTGACAGATTCATCTCTCTCTCCAAGGTGCACCCTCTCCTGTTAGGAGAAAGCAAGGCGAGAAAGGAAATCAAGTAAGAGAGTTCAGTCCAACATCTCTTCCTTCTGCAGAGACACTGCACTGCGACCCCAGCTTTCCGGATCCCTCCTGTCCTTTCCACGGATCCAGTACTTCCCTCTTTCTCCAGCATTATTTTTCCATTTCCATCTTCGACTTTGCTGAAACGGATTTGTTTCACAAACATCCCGCGGTCATTTGAGTCACCATGACTTCTGGAATGACTCCAGGAAATGACTCCTTGGAGTCCCTCCTAACTAATATCTGCTCATCCGTGTCAGGCCTTTCCAAGGGTACTTGTTTCTATCTAAAAGGTCATTTATGTCTGCCTTCAAACCTCATCAAATAGGGGACAAGGGCCACAGAAGAGAGAAGAAACAAAGTCAACCCCAAGTTAAATCTTTTTCCGGGCGCCTACCTTTTGCTGTGCGCCTGGGCTTTTGGGACAAGGGTTGCCCCCAGCACCGTGACTGCTGTCTGCCTGGGCCCCAGAGAAAGGCGGGCGGAGGCTGGCAGGCGGGGGGGAGAAGCTTGCAGGACGGCCCTCGTGTGCCCCTGAGCTCTGTAGAAAGCAGGAGGCACCAAGTTAATGGCCACCAGCGGCGCACTGGAGAGTAGCCTTTGCTGAGCCGCTGGCCCACGTGTCTTCCCACGAACGTCATTCCCGAAGTCTTCATTCTGGCTTTTATGTGTCACCTACTGCTCGGAAACGTTCCGTGGCTCCCACATATCCACAGCACAGGGTCTCCATTTCTCCCCAAGATCGGTGTTCAAGACTTTACACCCTCAAGTACTAGTTCCTTCTGCAAGTTCAAACTCTACCGGCCCCTCTGGAGCGTCCCTCAGCAGGCCCTGTGCATTCTACCTCCCTATCTTTTTGTCTCATTGAAGGGCTTTCCCAACTCTCCTGTTTTTAACTCTCCACTTCTTTTTAATTCCAACTCCTTCCCTACGCTTTCCCGGACTTTCCCAGCCTTTCATGGTCAATCTGCCATCCTTACCCCCACCACGATGTCGAAGGCACAGGTCAGTGACGTTATCCTGCATTGCTCGATGTATTCTTATCAGTGCTTTTCGAGAGTGTCGATATCATTAGAATTGAATTTCCAGAGCTATGCAGAAGGAGCTATGTTTACCTTTGTGGCCTAGGACACTATGCCTTCAATAAATGTTGTCAATGATGCTGATAATGCATTAAAGCCCGAGCTCCTCCCAGGGTGCCAACTCAGGGGTGGGCACCATTCATCTGAATGCGTTGTTCCACTAGGTTTATAAAAATATGCTCTCACTATCTCTGGCCACATCGCACACTCCCAGGGTAGAGAACGGTCAGTGTGAAAAGAGCATGTACTTTAGAAGCAGATAATCCCAGGTTCATATGATTTTGGCAACTGGCTTAACCTCCCTGAGGCACATTTTCCTCAGCGGCAAAAAAAAAGAATAATGAATTGGACCTCCAAAGGTTGTTGTGGCAATTAACAAGATTACGCACATACATGCCTCACCTACACACACATGGTACGTGGCAGGAATGCATTAATTCGAGTTTTCTTCCCATTCCTTTTCTAATGATAAAGAGCTCAGAATCTTTTCATGATGTAATTTTTTCTCAGATAGACTTAAATAGATGTTCCTAATAACTCATTGGCTTCATAGACAAAGTAAAGTCTTTGATGGTCACCTTGATCTGTCTTTGAAACAGTTACTCTTCTGAGCCATCTCCCACAATTCTGCTCTCATTCCACTCCAGCCACACTGGCTTTCTGCCTGATGCTTGAGCCTTCCATGCATGCTCCCACCTCGGGGCCTTTGCACTTGCTGTTCCACCTTTGCCTAAAATGCTTTCACCCCAAATATTCACAAGCCTTTCTCCTTTACTTCTTTCAAAGCTTTGGTCAAATGCCCTTGGCCCTTTAGCTTAAGGTTGCAAACTTCCAAATTCCTCACTTCGCTTCTCTGCTTTCTCTCCTTAAGATGGGTCATCTTCTAATACATTCTATAATTTACTTATTTTTAAAATATGTTTTTATTGATTTGAGAGAGAGAGAGAGAGAGAAACATTGATCAGCTGCCTCCTGCATGCCTCGTACTGGGGATCTGGCCCGCCACCCAGGCGTGAACCTTGACCAGGAATTGAACCAGCGACCTCTTGGTGCACGGGGTGATCCTCAACCTACTGAGCCACACCAGCCAGAGCTATTTTACTTATTTTTTTAAATTTACTGTCTGTCTTCCCATGAGAACAGGGATTTTTTTTCTTTTGGCTAGTTCAGCGCTAGTCCCCGAGACTAGAAGAGGGCCTGGGCTGGCACGCGGTAGGTGCTCAGTGTTTGCCCTCTGCAGACCACCACACAGAGAGACCAGTACAGTCTGGTAACTTCCCCTTTGGCTCTTGTGATGAGTTGGTTTGGCCTCTGGCGAGGCCTGATGCCAAGGAATCCTGAAAACAGGGGTTGGCAAACCTGTCTTTGTAAATAAAGCTGTACTGGAACACAGCCACGTGCATTTGTTTATAAATTGTCTGCGGCTGTTTTCATGATACAGGGTAGAGCCGAGTCGTTGTGACAGAGACCATAACGCTCACAAAGCCAAAAATATTTACTGCCTAGCTTTTGACAGAACAAGAGTGCCAATCCCTGCCTCAGAGGAGCGAGCTGGTCTACTCGGAAGGCCCGAGGACCTCGGGGCCTGGGTTGCAGCGGGGCTCTGGGCAAACCCACCCCCTGGAAGCTCCAGCAGCAGCTCTTTAGACTGCAAGCCCGCCCCGCTCCCAGGGCGGGGGTGCGCTGGGCTCGGCCGGGCCGGCTCTTACCTGTGCGGTGCACACCGGGGTGCTGGCGGGCGAGGGGAGCCCCTGCCCTTCTCTCTGGGCGCCGGAAGAGGAAGGTAGGAAGTAATGGTTGTTGGGCGATGGGGGCAAACTGATGTGCTGCGGGCTTTTCACCGCCCCAAGGGGCGAGTGCTGAGGGGAGCACTGCGGGCTGAGGAACGTGGAGGAGAGCGCGTGGCTCTGACCCGAGGGCTCCGCGCAG